ACATGTACATTAAAATATGTGTAAACATTAAGTGCAAGCACTGGGAAATCAATGTGTTTGTAGAATACATTAATACAAGCTGAATATTAGATCAGTTAATAGAAGCTGCACTATCGTAAAAGATTTTAAAGATTATATTTAATTCATATAAGACAGCAATGATGTAGAATAAGATGGAACTTTGAGATTTCAATTATAACAGATTTTAACTATTTACTTTTCAAACATAAACTATCAGAAAAGGGAATAATGAAAACTAGTACTAACTAAAATTGTATTAAATAGCTTTCTTAGCTGTGAATTTGACAATTACTTTAAACTGGGGCCCCCTCTGCTGGTTAAGTAACATATTACAACTGGTAAAACAGCTTAAAGGGTAAACAAAATTAAATTATAAAAAGATCAAATACACATTAAAGTGGATATATTCATGCACTTATTCCAAAGCCTACATGCATTTTCCCTGACTCTGCTGACATTAGTGCCAAACAGGCACATCAGTCAGAGTGAATCTACAGGTGGATGCTGCAGTAACTGGTCTGTGTCCCGAGGGATTATTATGCAACACCTTTTCCGCTGAACAAATCAAAAATGCATCCCTGACCCAGGAATAAATAATTTAACCAGGTCTAAAAAAAAAAAAAAAGTCAAGTGACTCTGCAAAATGGACATGATGTTCCACCGACACCCACACACAGATCTGAATCATAAACTTGGATTTTAGACAGTTCCTTCTTTTCAAAACAAACTAGCACTGGGTTAGAAGATGTTTTTATATATGTGCAACTAGTGTCGGTCATTATTTACAAAAAAAGATCCATCTTTTTCAGTCTTCAGACCATACTTTTAACAATGCATCAGGAATACGCTAAAACATGCTTATATACGTCTTATTTCAGTTTCAGGAACACAGAACAAAATGAAATGGGCCATAATGTTAACCACAAAAATGCAAAAATATAACTTATACCATTGTTTGATTGACAGAAACATAGCGCACTTTTCAATGTGATTTTTGTGAGTTTTAATCCTAGACATCATACTATATTCTACTATATTCTAATTTTGCATATCCCCAAAACAATAATTATGAATCTGTGATATTATAATTTTTTAATCAACATACCGTATCTTCTACCTCTACTTGCTACTTATTCTACAAATAAATATAAAATATATATAAAACAAGTGATATCGTCAATTTGGGGTTTCAGCTTCCAGTTACCTGCATATAAAGAAGTGCAATAAGAGTGTTTGGCACCACTCGAATGAAGCTTGCAATGCTAACGGTTACAGGTGCGCATTTGAAGCCAGGCTCTATATAATGAATAGGATTTTGACAGACTAAATATAAAAAAAAACCAAAAAAAAAAACAACCCAAAAAACAGGATCATGTAGAGCACGTTAATACGAACATTTTAAGACCAAAATAACAAGGCTCACAGAGGCAGTTACAGCGAGAGGGACAACAATATTCCAATATAAGTCAACAGGAGCCAGGGTCAGGTCAGCAGGAGCTTGAAGAGCTGCACGCAAACTTCCTGTGTGGAATACGGCAGCTAGCGCTTTTGCTATGTCCATTTATATATATACGGTCTATGATTATATGCAACATTTTGATGATTTTTTTCCCATTGAATAGATAATATTTAGTAATCATTAATCGCTATGGCAACTGTCCTAATTTTCCATCATTCTGAAAGTCATGGAGAGACCAGCACTAGAACTGGCAGTCCTTCATATCCAGTTGAATCGCACACAAGGGTCCACACTTAGGTTTAACACAATCTGATCTGATCTGCGGGGGGAGTGTCCAGCTCGGAGAGTGCCAGTGAAAGGGGATATCTCAACACAGCACTCATGAAGACAGCCCATTCACTACAAATACACACTTGTACTATGTCAGTTCAACATCTTTATAATCCAGGGCAACAACAAAATTTTAAAATGTAATCGTAACATACTATTAAATATTCATTCAGTCATAAAGAAAGACCAGATTCACTACAACTAAAATAAAATGTAATAGTTCTTGGATGTCGCTGATCAAACCAGACCAGACTTTATATCAATGAAATGTTTAAGCTGATATACTTTCCAATTGTTATGTAATGGCAACTTAACTTCAGTTTAAACCAGTTCTGTGAATTTATTTAACCCTGCCAATTAAATTCTCTCCCACGGTGCAGCTGAGTAATCATCACAGCGTTTCCATTGTGTTACCCGGCGACCAGAAACCAAAATAACCTTGGTCTTGGACACTGAAACAAGAGCACACAATCTCCAAGTGACAGGAGATATTGTGCTTTGATTGCGCATCAAACTAACACTATGAATTCCTTATTATCATTTAAATAGGTAGAAAAAATGAAATTAAATATAGCAAATTAAGAGTGTAATTTTTTTCTGTGCAAGGCTAAAATATCAAACTTCCAAGTGGCGTCTTCCTGCTTAGGGTCATTTGAGTGACCAAGGTAAGTGAAAGTTGAACCTAAGGCCCCAGTAAAAATTACACCAAAAATAGATCGGGGAAAACAGGGTCAGGTTTGTCAGGAGACAACTGACCACCGCAAAGATCTACAAAACACACCACCTTAAATATGTTGTAAAAGAAAATATATTAAAATGGTTGTACTAAGATTACAGTAACAGACCTGTTCGGAAAACCACTATGTTCCTCTTGCATCCCGAAAGCAGGTGGATATTTCGGAGCAAACCTTTGGCAGTTAAACGCACGTGGATGTTTGAGAGGGAAAGCTTTGGAGACCATAACATCTCGAACAGAGATCAAAAACAATCCACAAGTGAAGAAAAGGGTGAAGCAGAAGTGTAGCTAAAAGAATAGCTATAACTGTATTACTTCAACCATTCTTTAAGGAAATGCAAGCATCAACAAATGAAACTAAAACTACAAAATTAAATAAAAATTGTGAAAGCGTATAGGTCCATTTGATTGTACTTCCAAGTTAAAAATATGTAATCTCCAGCGATTAAACCACAATAATGCAAAGACGATTTAAATCTGATAGAGATTTGAAGCTATTGGGGGATGAAGAAGAAAAAATAAAAAATAAAAAAAATAAAAAAACACACATTTAAAATCCTTTAATCCTCTTGGTAAAAACAGGCTCCAGTCACAAACCAGCACACAGAAATGCCAGAGCAGAGAGCATCTCCAGGCTTCATGATGGCGGTGCTGTGGTAAAGCAGAGACGCACCGACAACTGAGGAGGGAGGTGGGCGGGGCTAAGAGTGCAACACTGACCAATGGGAGAGAGACAAGGAGGACTATAGGTGATATGTAGACCAAGTGCCTGGGGTCAGATTATTATCACAAAAGTGATTTATAACAGTATATAGCACGCATTGGACAAATCTCACCAAAATCCATGCTTGAAAGAATAAAATATATATACACCACTTCAATGGTGTGGTGCCAATGTAGGTTTAAGCAAAATTCACAAAGCAATAATGAGTATCCTGGTCATTTTAAGACTTTTAAATCCTAAAGACAATCATTTTCTCCTCTTCCAAAATTCTTTACACTTATGCTGACAACATTAGTAAAGGGTTATATGAAAAAAATTAAATCAATTTAGATTTACAATATTCACATTTTAGTGTTTATAGATCAACTAAACATCTTAAAACAAGTTTGTGTTATTTTACAATTGTATAATATAGTAGGGATTTAAATTCAAGGAAATGTGCATATTCTATATTTTACTATGCCTATTGTTTAGTTGTCCTTGAGATGTTTTATGTATTGATAGACTAAATATTTCTACATTGGTACTAAGGGTGTAACGATATCCAAGTCTCACGATACGATATCAACATGGTATGAACCTCACGGTACAATATTTATTGCGATATTGTGAGAAAGCTCACAATTTTGTGGAGGCGAAACCAGATGGTTAATATGCTACTTTTTCCTCTTAAAATGCCTTGACAAGATTTAATCCAAAGAACTATAACTTAAAAGTGCTTAGAATTGTTATTTCTTCTTGTAGTCTACACTGAAATGGTGCAAAGGCTCATGGTCTATGTAGTTCCCTCTACTTAAATTAAGAGTTATGGTGCAGCAATAGCTAAAAAAACCCCCAAAGAGACTTGTAATTTGATATATTGTGATGGTCCATGATATTATTGTGAGAACTTTGATGATACGATATCATGATATTTCGGTTATTGTTACATCCCTAATTGGTACAGTAAAGATTCTATTCTAACACTTCTCCTTTTGCTATATTTGAAGATAACAATACATCAGAAAAAGACATACAATTTACTGCCAAAGCAATGAACAACTCAAAACTGAATATCTTTTAAATGGTCAGCTGTCCTCAGAATGTCACCATATAGCAGGAAGCCCATGAAAAACATAAAATTTAACTCTTACCAGAAGTAGTAAATCTGATGAGCTTGGTGGTGTTAGTGGTGGTCCTCTTCTGTGAGCTGATGTGACAGTTTGGCAGGCCTTTGGTGGGTCCAGTTGTTTTACATAGAGCGGTCAACACTGGCACAAGCAGAACAGAGAGCACACTGGAGTTTAACTGACCCATACTGTCTTTGGAAAAGCACGTAGCATCTGATTGAGACTGACAAATCTCAAAGATTTTTAACCATGATGCCCTGAATGAGTGTTTTGATCACAGGAACCACAACAAAGGCCTGTATAACTCAATCAGCGTTAATCAGCTAATACTTCACAAGTGGTCTACAAAGTACTCAACATTGTTTCAATGTAAATGGGAACTGATGTACTTGTTTCTTATCACAGAGTGTCATTAAAAATACAAGATTAAAGCTTTGTAACATGATTAATAGTTACTAGGTTGAGTTTCTGTTGGGTTTACCTGGCGCACTGGCCTTAGCTGGAGTAGTCTTCGCTGGAGTAGTGTTGAGTCTCGCTTTGAGGATTGGAAATTTGCAAGGGGTTGAACGCCTGCTTGCTGCTCCAGAAACTGTAAAAAAATTAAATAAATAATATATATAATATATATATATATATATATATATATAATAATAATATGAGCTGGATTTACAAAGCAGCAGAAACATGACATTTTGTTCCATAACTTACTGATTTCATACTGATAATCTTACCATTACTTACTATTACTTACCATGACTACTATTTGAAAGTCAACAATGAATCAACCAATCGAGCATATTATTTTTTGAGCAATTTGTCAATACAAGGTACATACACAATACATAAAAGACATGATATGGTACTCAAAAGAACTTGGCAGAAGTTCACATAGTGAATATCAGCCACCAGGCAAGATGATTCTAGTCTCACCATTTTCTTTTCCCTCATTGATCATAGTAATCAATCATGATTTTTTATTTGATATTGTTATAACCAAATAAAAATGAACTCTGCTTCAAACCACTTGTGTTTACATACAGAGGACTGACTGCAGACTTCTCCATTAAAAAGACCCAAGATGAAATTGATGATTAAAGATGACCCAATCTCAACATTGATTTTTTTTTTTTTTTTTATTGCAAAGGCCTAATAGAGAATAACCATCAAGAAAAACGTAATCAAAAGCTTAACATACCAGTTTTCACCTAAACCAATATAGCATTTTCCATATCTACAGTTTATGCATTTCCAATACAAAAGCCTATCACAGAGAATTTATTGAGACACTCACATCTCCAGAGCGTCCCATGCTTCCCACTGAAGGCGGCTAACAAAGGAACGATACAAAAGCGATAGGAACCGATGAGCAGACAAGTCAAGAGGGTGAGATCACAGCTTGACCCTGCACTACCACTGGCCGGACCACCAAAAGACGAGGAATTATGGAAAAAAACGTGCGGCAAAAATTCAGTCATAGTACCACATCGGACAGCATTGTAAACAGCCATTGATTTAAAATAAGCACAAAACAAAAAATATATAAAAAAATAAAATAAATCACTGATCCTGTGGTCTCGTGCTGCAGACAGCTTTAGTGTTAGTATGTCTGTTCGATTGCACCTCAGGGCGACGTGTGAACTAGACTGGAACAGAACTGTTACTATGACAACACACACAAGGGGGCGGGCATCTGCTACTACAAAGCCTTGACCAATCAGAGAGCAGCATTATGGAGAGTATGCAGCAGAAAGGGAAAACTCACTCCAATTTCCAACTTTCAATAAAAACATAAATCTTGCTCAATAATTTGTGAATTTTGATCATCAACAATGTCAATAAGTTTTTAGAAATTAGTTTTTTTTATTCTGAAAAAATAAAATAAAATAAATACAAAAAATAAAAATAAAAATTGCACCTAGTTGGCATTAGTTTAAAACTACCTGCATACTGTTTAAATGTATTAATATTTATAATCACACCAATCAAAAAAATTACAAAACATGAAAACTAATAATAATTTGAATATAACCTCAATAACAAACAATAACAGAAGATGGACAGAGAAATGGCATTAAGGAGGGACTTAACCAAGGTGATTTATCTTGTGCAGCTCTGAAGTGGGTCACTATCAAAACTAAAGCCTTGCCTTTAAGTTCAGGGTCTTCAGTCTTTGTAAATCTGTCTCACCTTGTGTCGTCTTGGTGCTGTCACTAGTCTCCCTGTGAACTCCAGACTCGTTGGACCCTGGTTGGATCCTGGACGGTCCACAGACCTTCCGTGGTTGGAGTCTGGGCCCAAAAGTGGGAGGGGGGTCCATCACAGAGGAGCGAGAGGGGGTCTGAAGACGCTGGGATGAACCTGGCTTGTTATTAACAGCTGGGGCAGTGTCTCCAGGAGTTTTTGTATTACCTAAAATGACATAAGCAATGAATCGACATACAGAATAGGTCCCATCAAAAACAAAAATACACAAACGTTGACATATGTAAAGATTAAAATGAACAAAGATTCCATAAAAAATGAATGTGCTAGTATACATTTTAAATATATCTTAAAATCCATTTTTTTTGCTATGGATTGACATAATATATTTAAATGTTGTCAAAATGGGGAGCGTATGTAACTAAAAAGATTAAAATAAAAATAACCTGTGCAGCAACATACCTATAGAACATACCACATTTTCAATTTCAATAAAACTATAGTCTTTTATCTACATTTAAAGTTCATGTTGTGCGAAAAGCTTCTTGGACTAAAATAAATGTTTAAAATTGTACTAACAGGTTTGTCACATAATTTTTTTCTGAATTTTGATTCTGATCACAAAATATCAGGTGAGATATAGGAAAATTAATAAAAACTTTTTCAAAGATAAGCAAAATTTGAACAAAAACATACTGCCTACATTTAAAACTGTAATAAATTACCTCAAAAAGAGATACAAATATCTAATATAACTTCCACTTTAAACCATCACTTTAAACATGTGTTTAAAGTGATTTCTGGCTCACACATCACATCAAAAACATTTCCTTACCTTTGATTTTGCTTTTGAGCAGTAAATTGGTCCTGCTGCGCTCTCTGTCTGATGCTCCTGATCGCTGCATGTTGAGAGGAGTGGCCGCCATAGGAGCCGTCGTCTTTTGACTGGCAGCTGAAGATTTGGAGGTCGATGCTCTGCCTGTTAGGTTTGGGGAAGGCTGTCCACGCACCCTGGTCTTAGTCTCTGTACAAGACGCTGACGATAATGTACTGGAATGAGACTGCAAACAAAAATGAAATTAAAAGGATACAATACTTTTTAATGTCTCAAAAATATCCATAAAAAACTACTTACCACCAACACAATTTTCTTCACTTTTCTACAATTTGTTTCAGTGGATTCTTTTTCAGATCCAGGTTTACTTGGAGATGAATTTTCCTGATTTCCTAATTTGGTCTGGCTCTTCGGGTTTTTGTTTTTTGATATGGAAAGGGAAAAACTAGCTGAAAGTCTTTGAGGCTTTGCCATTCTGAAAAGCCTTGACAGTGCAGTGGAACTTTCAGAACTGGAGCGTGGACGTGTACTTGGGGTACTGGGGGTTGACTTTTCATGGCCTAAAGTAGAGCCAGATTTCACCTTTTTGATTGTGTTGGTTTTTGAAGCTGGTTTTGTGACCACTTTGTCATTTTTTGGTGGAGATTTATCTGGGTAACAGAAGGTGGTATTTGCAATATTCACTTTTGGATCAGTATTAGCGTGCCCTGTGGGTTCTTGCTCAGTGTCACAACTGGCTGGACTACAGTGGACCGCTGGAGCTTGTTTGCTTGTATCAATGCTTAGTGATGCATGGACTGTTCTACTCTTTGCTTGGGACTCTTCAGAATCAAAAGAATTTCTTTGCCCGTCTTTTAGGTCTTTATTAGCTCTAATGTATAGTTTTCTTTGAGGATTAAGGACAGCAGAGACTGGGGTTGTTGCACCATTATTAATTCTGGTAGGACTTGGCCTAGATCCAACTTTGTTCCCTTCTTGTTTAGCATTCATTTGCAGTGGTTTATCCAGTAGAAGACTTGATCCTTCAGCCCTTCTCATTTTACATCTCACACTGCTCATGTTGGATTTTGGAAACTTGTCAACTCCCATTTTAGTGACTTTATTGCCTGAAACTGGGGTTCCTCTCTCAAATTGTTTGGGAGAGACAGAGTTTTTCTTCCTCAACACGGGCTGGGGAGCAGGACTTCCAGTATTTTCTGTGCAGGGTGACACAGCAAAAGAAGCCAGGTTTGGCAGATGGGTCCCTAGGTTTTGTACAGGAGTAGAAGTACAAATATCTTTATCTTTAACAGAAAACAATGGGGTATCAAATGTCATAACTTGATCTGGTGTTGAGAGAGGCTTGGATTCATTGTGCAGTTCAGCTTCAGAGTAAATAAACTGAGCATCATTTGCACAATCTGATGTTGAGTTTTCATAGAGGAAAGTGGTAGAAAGTGGTGAAATGTGAAGACCATGCTTCTCTCCTGGTAAAGCTAAGAAAGAGTTACACATCCCTCCAACCTCTTCACTTGGGAGCTCCACCTTATCTCCTAATACAAATGTGGTCCCAAGAGAGAGCTGGTCTCCTGCCTGGTCACCTGCACCATCTTTCACACTAGCAGCAGATGCCAATAGAGACTTTGATTCAATATGACTAGACGTTGGAGGAGCTAGAGACTCATCAAATGAAGACATCAGTGAAGGTACAGCTTGCTCCTCCAAGATAAAACTGTTGCCTCGTACCACCATCTCTGCAGAGCTGAAGGAGAGGTCCACAGACTTTCTATGGGAATCCTCAGACAAACTTGCAGATTCATACAGCAGTTCAGATCTAGAGGAAATAAATGGAGTGTCATTCTTAATATCTGAGTTTTTGCAAAGAAAGGTGGTACTGAAATTCTCTCCTTCTCCTGGCAAAGCTAGAAAAGACGAGTTAGACGTTGCTTCATGCTCTTCACTTGGAAGCTCCATTTTATCTTCAAACACAAATGTCATCCCAAAGCAAGGGTGGTCGCCGGCTTGGTCACCTGCACCACCTGTTTCACTGAAAGGGGTTAAAAGAGACTTGGATTCATCATGGCTTGAGACTGGAGGAGCTGAGGACTCCTCAAGTGAGGATAACACTGATGCTTGCTGGTCCAAGACAAAGCTGTTGCTCCGTACAACCATTTCTGCAGAACTGAAGGAGAGATCCATGGATCCTCTATGGGATGTCCTACATGAACTCATCCCAACTGAATCTGGAGATGCCATTTCACTGTTGCTTCCCTCTGATGCAGTCTTATAAAATGTTTTGTTTCTGTCAGAATCTTGGCAGCTCAAAAAACTCAAGCTATCGTTCCAAAAATTGATTCTGCTACTGTCCGGTGAAGCTATTAAAGAATTCTCCAAATTAGTGAAGCGCTTTCCTTGTGGTAGAGTTATTATAGTATTGTTTGGGTGCAGGATAGGTCCATCTGCACTCTGTGTGTTAATATCTGGGGAAGTGCAGTCTCTTCTCACGCTCAGGTTAAAATTACAGCTGGCAGAGTCGGGTGACAAGGACAATGAGTAGTTGCTGTCACTATCTAACAAACGACCTCTGTTTGCCAAAAATAATGGGGGCTCATCCTGGCCCTCACAAGGCTTGTTTAAGTTTTTGTCTGACATTGTAGACTTCCAAGAACATGAAATTGTGGCCCTTACTTTAGTTAAAAATCTGCAAAAAGAAAAAAGAACAAATAAATGAGAATTTTTGTTTGTAAGAAAACTGAATATGTAATTTACATATGTTGTCAAAATCAAACACATATCCTGTAGAGAATGAAATAAGATAAGATCAAACTTTTTACTCTAAAGGTTCTTAATCCTGAAGGCTATGACAATAAACATCAAATATGAATATATGACTAATATGAATAATATGAAATCAATTGCTAATTGTCAATTAGATATACATACAAAAACCTTTACAATTTAAATTATTTTTAGGAACTAAAAGCTAGTTTCAGGTTTCAAAGATTTTTCCACCAGGCCTCTTTGAAAATGGACACACCTTAACTTCAAAGAAAGTGTTTTGACTCCTGACTGGTAACAGTAGCTGCAATCACTTATTCATGACATGAATATAAAAAATGCAAATGGTCTAATACTGTATAATGCTATAGTTAGCAGATTAGAGTGTACTGCATAACATTGCCACTTGCAATTTCACCTTGAGGTTTCTTGGCATCTTTCTAATGATATAATTTAATATGTCAGCACTCTGGGAGCAAGCTGTTGGCTTCATTCATAAGAGTAATTGAGCTACACTAAATTATAGCATGTCACATTGCTGTCTCACCACAACAGCTATTTAAAGATGACCACAACATGGTTCAGCTTCTAATTAAGTAATTGAAATAACAAATGTACAACGCAAAAATCAATAGTAACTAATCTCATAAATAAGGTAATAAAAAATAAATAATTGGGGCTGTCAAAAGTATCGAAAATCAGATACTAATCAATACTAAATTTAGTATTAAAACTAGATACTCATTTGAGGAAGTACAGTATAAGACCATATAGACAGGTATACAACAATAGACCCTTATGGAACCTACTTGGATGACTGAAGGATCCTACAGATATAAGATCACATGGAAAAAGTACTTATCAGTTAATGCTGAAAATCACATTCTACTGTCTAAAGAAGAGTTTTTATTATCATCATCATGGAATTGGAATTGTTCACTGAGGATAGTGTCCTTAGTATCAAATCCCCCCAAAAAATATTATTGTTACAAAACTCCTGGCATTATTTAAACGGGGACATGATTTCAATACACATGACAACAAAGTACAAACCGTACAGTGACATTTTCATAGGGATAATAGCCACCATGTTAGCAAAAGGTCAGCATTGTTTGGCTTCACAGCTTAGACTAGCAGTTATCACCACTGACCCCTGTGTGTAAAATATAAACACATACTTTCATTGAAGTCAGACTTGGACAGTAAGATCTGAAACATTAGTTCATTCAGCAACCATGAAAACAAGTAGTGGATTAAAATAGGGCAGAGTAATGCTACACCGTAATCTGCCTACTCAGATAAAATATAGGATGAGCAGGCTGCAGTGCACATTGAAACTTGGCACGGGCAGCTCCTCCAGGGCCATTGCAGTATTTTCTGACACAAGACAATAACACCAAAGAAGCATCTCCACTGGAAATAGCCTTAAAACTGTTCTGTAATAGAAGGCACCTGTGCACCTTACACACAGTCCCTGACCTTACAATTTTATAGAGAAATGCACATACAAATTAGCACAACAGGTTTACAATAATAATAATAACAACAACAACAATGTATCGGTGGTTCAAAAAGTGTTGTTGTTAAACCAAGGACAGGTTCATTTTGACATCTTGATACAGGCAAATTTATCCTTGACCTTAGAATTTTAATAGAGGAAAATGAATCCACAAAAGAGCAGAACAATCACATTCACAACAGGTTTACAATACTAATAACTAACTTACCAGTGGTTCAAAGTGCCTTGCTGTTAACACAAGGATAGGTCCAGGTCTTATTATGTGCAAATTTATCCATGAGAAATTAAGCAACTTCAAGATCTGGTTACAGCTAAAACTAATTAACTACACATTTTAAAGATCTGCTGACAGTAATATGCTAGGGTGGGAAAAAAAATCCATCATGTGAGGAAAATTGTAATATATCCATTTAGCAGAGGAAGAGAAATAGTTCCACCAAGTAGATCAGTAGTAATACAAACGCAATGAGTGACTGGCCCACGTAGTTTGTCAGTAACAGGCGTGTCAAGGTCCAGCCAAGCAGCGAGCCGTGTGCAACGCTATGCTCCAAAGTTTACAGAAGCACAGCCTGAAAAAGCACGTTACCTTATCCATGCGGCCCACAGCGTAGGGGGAGTGGTCAGAGTCAGCGGGGCTGGTGGCATTCACTGTTGCTAAGCACCAAAGTCCCTCTTTTCTAAGTGAATGGCCTGTGCAGGAGAATTAGCATAACACCAGTTAAAGCAACAGACATCACACAAAGTTTTCCAAGGCAATAAAAACAGGAAGGAATGAGACACAGAATGAACACACATCTCAACACATGCTACTACAGAGGAGTGACACCTGAGTCTAAGACCTTTAAGACCTACGCTATTTCTGCATAATCTATACGAGGCGCATGACCCCGGCTGGAAACTAATCTTTACTGGGGGAAACATGTAAAGTACAGAGCAAAAAGGATTATACTGTATTTTCTAAACTTATCCGGTATTATGACATCTCTACCAGTATTTTGAGCAAAATTAAAGTTGTACTATGCAACTTTTCTGGAGGGGGTGTCTCCTATCTGCTTGTCTCCACAGAGATTTTATTGCTTTGCCCGCAGTGTTTCACTTTGCCTAACTATTTTGCATTTACTCAAGAACAGGTGCTAATAAATAAATAAACAATAAAACACACACAAACTTTCTGAACTGGGTCAACCCAACAGAGATCTGACCTGTAACTTGGTCTAGTGTCGTTGGCTGTTGTGTCCATGGACAAAGGTTTAGGTAGCATACTGTGAAACATTCCAGGTAAAGCAATAATGTCTCCATAGATACAGCAAACTGAAAAGGACACTGGCATTTTTGTATCTACAGAACATTGTAAAGCATCACTTATAGGATCTTAATTATATTACTTTGCAGCTGAACAATTTCTCTCAAAAAGCTACAACTCATCTAAAGGCTATATAAGCAAATAACTATAAATATCCTGATCTAAACATGTATTTTTCTTAATAAAGTGGAATGTATGAAGTTAAATCAAACTTTTTAAAAACTTAGAAATTCCTAGTAGTACACTGTTGTTTTGGAGGATGCACTGGACATGAGGGGGACCCACAGTTGGATCTGGAGCTTCTAAAGTCCATGGCACAAAGCCACCCACATCAGGCCCGAGCAGAGGGTCACGGGGGGGGGGATTCCAGCGAACATACCACCAGACAACGCAGACCTCTGTAAAGCATAGAAAACAGCACAATAAGTCGATTACTGTGGCTTCAGCTCCATATATCAGTGAATGTGATGAGAGACACAGAAAGAATGCCTATTATCAAGCCTTTCCAGACAATAATATGAGCCAAGAAATCCAGTGAATGAGGATTAAATTGCAGTATTACAATTTCTCTGGACAGAGCAGAAATTGTGGTTTTAATCCAAAAAGCAAATTTACAAATGTTGAACCTGACCACTTCTATTAGTGACTACATAAATTAACTTATATATATATATTGGCACTAATAGGCAATAGATAAGATGAACTGTATACTATTAGGATGTCCAAAGATCAAATTACAATTATCTCATGCAATGTATTGAAATACTCTGGGAAGGATAATTCTACTTACATCTAAAAATGCATTTACAGCTATATTGGACACTCTATTATTATAGGATATTGATAAAACAATACAAAGCATTAGGCATAGGAGCAGTTTAATATGTTGTAACAGTCCTTGGTGATAATTTGAGACGGTGAGATTTTAACAGGGCAAACAACTGTTCACTCTCAGATTCTAAAAGCTTCCCATTGTGAATAGGACTATCTAGATTAAATGTAGTACAACATATGGCTACACAAGTGTCACTGAGTGGGTCCCATTAATAGGAGACTACCGTAGGTGAAAATTTTGCCCTTTTTGCCAGCTTTCTAAAACAATCTGAGTAATATAGCTCGTTGCATTATCATAAACATATAACTTAAGGTTTAAAGGTGCACTGTGTAACTTTTCTGGTGAAGGGTCTGCTTACATTTTAGTTTCCATGATGATGTAATTGCCTTGGTTGGAATGTTTCATAGTATGATTTTCAACTCAACTATCTCCATAGAAACAAAAAGGAGATGCCACCGGACTAAGATACAGACAGATCTGGGCAGAGGAGGGCCCGCTGACTGTAGCTGTACATGTTCTTTGAGCAATATAAAACTCTCATAATTGAATGAATGAAAGATGATTGGAAAATGAATAAGTTGTCACAGTGTGAAAACAATTCAGACAAAGTAATATAATCTCTATGGATAAGTGACATATATACCCCAAATAATCGAGTATTAAATACTGAAACATTCAGTACAAATATTCAAGAGTTACCTGTGCCACAATAGCCTCAGTATGAACATGTGGTAAACACTAGTGTTGATTATAAGGATTTATCTGTGGCATGATCTTACAAAATTAAATTGCTCTTCTAAAACAAACAATACAATAGAATACATACATGAGAATAGATACAGATTCACACACACACACACACTTATAAACTGGCCCTGGTGGATTATCTTCGCGTGAAGAGGCCTCCAACACACAGTTAACTTCTATTTTTAGCAGCCAGGAGTAAACATAGTACACACCTACAAATAGCAAAGAAAACACTCTGTACAGTCTGTACAGCTCATGAATGGTTCAGGGTGGGTTTTAACTAGTGGGAAAAGCACGTTTTTGTTGTCAGTTTGTCAGTATTATTTGAGTTTGTCATTGTCAGTTTGTCATGTATTATCTCAGATCACTATAGCTGTAACTATTTACGCTAAACTAACTACATCAACAGGCCAGACAGATGACTTCAACTATAGTTTAATTATTCTGCTTGCAAGCTGTTATGTGGTATAAGAATATTAATTTATTATTACATACAATCAAGCAAAGCGAGTACACATCAGTCGTAAGTGAATGGCTAGGTTACATTTGACAGCTATTTAATGTCAAACATTGGATTACACAAACCAATATGGTTTACCTCAGAAACTTCAATGAATTTATAAATAAATGTAGTTCAATTTGACTAATAAAGATAGTAAAGAAACTTTCTTACCTGTTCACATATTTTCTCACTATTATAGGTCAGATAATTTTTTTGGTCTTCAAGCTAACGAGTACGCTAACAAACAAAATGTCAGTAATGCACATTTCTAGCTGTTATTTGCTTTGTCAAACTATAAATATATATGGCGTTTTAAGATTACATTTTCAATATGAAGTGAAATATTTGAATAGTTAAATAAATAAAGCGTTATATCTTAATCAAGTTAGGGTACAACTTCTTTTCTGTTTCCCACGTGTTCTTACCTGACCCAAAGCAAACACAGTGCGCATGCGTACTACATGATTAATTAGACGCACCTGTTGCTGTAGCGTTTTCTATTTTATAAATGATTTTTTATAAATCATCAAAAACAATATTGACTGGCTCAGTGTTTGACCTTAGTGAATTATGGTTTATCACTGACTATTTAACCTTTTATGGAGGTGGATTTCCTTTGAACTTTTAGACTTGTAAACAAAAACAAAAAGGGTATCTTAATTTGGCCCGCTGCCTGACTGAGACATGGATGACCCCTAATGGCGATACTCTTTTGGTGCAGGGATTGTCTTTTTTGTTTGTTTGTTTTTAACCCTATCCAGGCTTTAAGTTGCAAGTCATTTATATATTAATCTAAGTCTATAGTATAAATTGAGAATACTTAATTGTATCCTAAACTAAGAAGGCTACACACTGAGGTGGTGAGCAGTCTAAATTTACAAATATGTACTGAGTAATAGATTTTACAGTGTACCGGTAGCATAATTTCTGGCCATTCCACCCAGCTCCAGACACTGATTTGCTAAAGAATTTTCTAAATGAATTACTTTCTAATTTATTTCTAGACAGTCTATGAACATATTCTATCCATAAAAAACACAAGTTAGTCTAATATGACCAGATTTTATTAATTGAAATCTGAATGTACAATAATTTAATAATTACACAATTATAAACCACAAGGGTGGAAGCATACATATTTACAATGTAAAAGTGCATTGTTAAACAGAATAAACATGAAGACACTACATGTTACTGACTGATGAAGGACTAATGAAGAAAAGATCCTACCTGCTTCAAAGAGAAAAGTCCCAGAGAAGTCTGTCTTAATTTAAAATAACTATGGCACCTTTCAAACAGATTAATATTGATTACAATAATTTACAATTTATTTGTGAAATCATTTCTAATTATACCATATCTACTGATGAAGACTGTGCTTGGTAATAAAACAAAGGGTTTTCTCATTGAAGATGTACTGCAAATGACTATCTCACTCAAGAAACTGTAATGATATGGTACCCACATTAGCAAGTCGTGTTAAATCTTTGCATCCACCAGGCATTTTGCTAGTACCAATGTCGTCCACAGTGAGGTTTTCCCATGGATGTCATGAATGTATACATAGATAGGTGGTCATACAACAAACCAATACATCAGCCTGACCCGGTGTGCGTACTGGGTAAGCATAAGACAAGTGTAGTTCCATTGATTCATAACTGTGGTAGTTATTTGGGACTCCAGAAGGCAATCTGTAGATGTGCATTTAAAGAGGACACTGGGAAGGACCATTGTATTTTTCATTGAATTTAAAGCTAGATTGTAATAGCTTTTAATGTTGTTCATTTGAAGTCAGCGTTAAACCAATGCTTTCACTTTTTGTTCCCCTCTCTCCATGGCCTCCAAAGTCCACTCATTTTTTGACACAGTTTGGCCAAGCAAGACCTCCACATGAAGCAGAAACAATAATGTATATGATCACCTAAATGGAGCAGAGAAGATAAGATTAACAATACTTCTTAATTACATTAAATAATTACATACTTGAACTTACTTATTAAACTATTAACTATGAACATGCCATTTAAACACAAAAACAATCTTTCTGATCATGATCCCTTTTCATTTAAGCAATCTTAAAGGATCAGAAATCAGATAATAGGTCTGTCACAATAACACATTTTAAAGTCTAATATAGAGCATTGCTGAAGTATATATAGACAATGACAAACAATACTGAAACCAAACTAGAAAGCAGAAATATCTACAAAAAACAATTCTAAATGTACAATTTTGTTAAAAAATATAAGCTGCAATAAATAAATAACAGGATGTAAAACTTCATAATTCAAAACTTCTATAGCTTAAATCTCATTGTAGTACAAAAAAATAAAGAGATTTCCCCCACTAGTACAAAGAAAAATGATAAATATTGGCCCCCAAATATTATTGTTCCATTTATCATCTATTGATCTACATCTACATACAGTAATTATTCTGACAGGCCTATATAATAATCAGATTTGGTGTGCATGTATCCGCAGTCAGTAAAATGTTGCTGAACTTCCTTTACTCACCAAAGACACTAACAAGATCAGAACAAAAAGCTTCAGGTTCTTCATACACATTGCTCGTGCCAAGTTTCGACTTGTAGTCTTAAATGTGACTGACTAAAAAGGAAAAAAACAAGAGCTATCAATATAATCTATGCATACAAAATAAGGACTACCTATAATTAGTGGTTTCGTTTAAAAATGTATAAAAAAAACTCACTGAATCAACAAGATTTTCTGTCTTGTCAATCAGCAGCTCAAGCTTTTCCCCTCTCTGAGCAACCAAATCTGAAGAAGACCAGAAAATTATTAGTTAATGCTGTAAAATATATTGCTATTGAGTCAAAATTGCAATTTGAGTGGTCAAAATATCAAATCAGAAAGACTACAGTAATTTGAGTAATTTTACAGTAAAATTACTGTAGCATGTTTTAAAAAAAAAAAACCTTGCTAACTCTGTAAGTCTGCTGGCTGTCGTTTATATTTCTACAAACATGTTGACATGGAATGCATGGAATTCTTGAAATAGTTTAGCAGTTTCATATTTTTCAAATGTGGCTTCCCCTGCTTGGATGTGTTTTTAAAGTGCATTGTGTTTCATTTCTGGTAGAGAGTCCAATAAATGCTTTTGTCCATGGAGATGTTGCTCTGTCTAAAATGTTTCACAGTATGGCCTTAAACCTTTCTATCTTCATGGTGACCAAACCAGACCAATTTACAGCTCATACTGCTCTCCTGTGGAGAGACAACCACACTCACAGCCAGAATGCCTGTTTTTCTCTGCTTTCTCTGTTTTTTTTGAGCTACAAAACTACTTGTGATTGAATAAATGTGAAGTAGAGCTGTTTAATGTCTGCTGTGGAACGTTCCAGGTAGAGCAATTAAATCCACAGAAACAAGCAGGTGATAGACACCCAAACAAAAAGTTACATACTGCACCTTTAAATGTAAACTTTGAACAGACTCATACTAATTAAACATAAATTATAATGTTAAAAAAAAATAAAATCACATGACATGATTCCTAAATAGTTAAGCTCTAATGTATTTGATCGTGAAGATGCACAATGAAAGGCAACACAGGTTTGGAGCATGCATAATCTGAAAGAGGTCAAGGATTTGTATAAATTATGATTTTACTTAATGTGACAAAGATTTTACTTAATGTGACAAAGTTCTTTGTTGGTAAGAACAATAAAGGCACTGCACTGACTAGAGTTAATTTAAATGCTAGTCTCTGAATGCATATTTCCAATGCCAAAATATTTTGTCCAGGCTATTGCTACTTTGCAACTGATGTCAATAACATTCCCTGGGGGTGTGATGCTAACTGAAAGCACTGCTCTGTTAGAAGCTCTGTTACTCAAATTAGACTTTCATCTGGGCTTTAGTTCAACACAATCTGACCAGAAAGAGCTGGTTTAATTGGAAATACAAAAGGTGAGATGATTTGTGCTGTTAGCCGCAAGCTAGCTAGCATTAACCAACAGTTTTTCCATTTAGTCACTCTCACTCTTTTGTCTGTGGGAACTGTGTCACTATTGAAACTGCTGAACATTCCACCAACAGAAATGCATTATAGAATATATAATACTACAGACTGCACAATCAAATAAAATATAAGGATTGTTGTACTCTTTAGATACAACGTAAGCTGATTGGGACATGTCTTTATTTTGACAATGAAGAAACGTACCAATGTTGCGAACCATAATTCCCTTCAAGTCATCCACCTGCATCTGTGTTTCAGTGAGGCGATCTGTTCCCCGTGGATCTGAATGATGCTTCTACAAAACAAGTGTCATTTAAAGTTACTGATGGTGTCTCATGAAATAAAGTGTACAGGTTATCAAGCTTAACTACACTCACCATCTGAGCTGCCAGTGTTGAGGAGAATTCACTGTTCATGGCATAAGGAAGGGCAGTCTGTGCTCTGGACCCATATGTTGTTTGAAAGCGTTTCTTCACTTCACTGAGAAAGGTGAACGCTCGCGATCTCTCAAAATCCTGTTTAATGAAAAATACAAAGCAACAAAATTATTCACTTTTGTATTATATTTAAATGCTTATTAACTAGAATATACTTAATATTTTATTTTACATCCTGGTTGGGCATGGACAGCTGATACAACATAATGGAGATAATTTCATAACTGTTACCTAGATACCACAAGGTTAACAAGGTACACAGTAGTAATGCTTAGACTAATAAAAATAGATGACAACATCTCCATTTTGATGGGTGAAGGTTTAACTTCCCAGAAAGGTCTGTCCCTTGTGCAAAAATAATCAACTGTACTTTAAAAATGTATTTAGTACAGCTACTTTCCCACCAATCTAAGTAATAACTAGAAAAACACAAATAAACGAGATGACATTTGACATTTCCAAGTTTTTATCTCTTTTGACAATTACACTTTTCCAGGGAAAACGCAGATTATTAAATGTTGTTGTGTCAAGTGACACATTTTAAGAGCAATATGGTGGCAATCCAAAGCTGTGGGTAATCACATGCATCTATAAAGTAGTTTGCATTTTCCACTGTGTCATTTTTCATTTCCTGTTTTGGCTTGTGGTCCTCCGACAGATTACAATGTTAAAATCTACCAGCATTAAGTGATTTCATGAATGCAAACTGTACTTACATCATCAGTAATACACAGATATATGATTCTGTCATGGCAAATGTAGTGGAACAGGTAGCTAGAAGAAGAAAAGAAACATAAATTGAATAGTGCATTACAGACATCAGTATCATTATAACACAACTTTTCTACTGTATTTAGATGGACTAACTACATATTACATACTCATAGATTCTGACTTTCTGGAAACTTTTAACCTACTTTAAGGTAACAGTATGTCATTTTAGAGGTGGCAAGTCACCTGCTTCAATTGAAATAGAAATTTAAAACTGTGCATATGAACATTCTTCATGAAACTAGATATGCTTATGCCTTATTACAACATTTCCATAGAAACAAGCAGGTGGAGGCCCTCCCCAGGGCAAATAAGAATAGGTTTATGAAGATGCAAGCCTGTCTACAGTAAGGACACATGTTTTTCTATGCCCTCTGCCAGTGTAGTAGTGAAATAGTGAAAGTTTGAAACTGTAGAAGTCAGGTATAAGATGTCCAAACAAACATGAAAGATGACACATACCTTCCATGGCTGTAGGTCAGCTTGTTGTTCTCTGAAGGGATTTTGGCCAAAATTTGTTCCGTCACCTCCAGGAAATTGCCCCCACACCAGGCGTGTTTGGCCAGGATAGTGGTCCCACGAGCCACCACCGCAAACAGGATAGCCATGGCACTTTATGGCACGTCAGAGCAGCAAAAAATCTGGCAAAAAATAAATACAAAACAGGGAAATATTGATTGATATTGATTATAACTAGTATATTGTACAATTGTCTATTATTTAATCTCCTGACGTTATGCTACAAAATTATGAAATGCAACGGCACCCCTTTAATGAATCATAAGTGGATAAAATATAACAAGTATTTTATTTTGTGGCTCCATATGTTTTCATGTTAAGGCACCGTATTATTATTATTGCTCTAACAAGCACGTAGAAAGTAAAACTACAGTGGCAACACTGGCATGGCATATGTTAACAGTTAACAGTTCAGCACAATAACAGGCTGTAACAAAAGTAAATTATAAAAGGTGTCACGACGATCGAAGCCCAATTGCCAATTTAACACCAACTGGCACAAATAAAATACTACGGAGTTAGCCGAATGTAAACAATAGCTGTGTAGCCCATAAAGATGGGCCTCAAATTGTGCGGGTTGTACAAATTACGATACATACGACAATTAATTGAATACCTGTGTGGGTCAGTGCTGGTTAAAGTGGCCCATTTACAGCGAATTCCAACATCTAGAAAGATTTCGGCGCTTGGCTAATCCTTTTCGAGTGACTTCTGCCTTCGCTTTGCGAAACCTCCGAACGGGAAACGACGACAGCTGCCCTCTGGTGAGTGTAGTTCGATTGAAACGCTCTGTCGTTTTTCTCAACGGCCGGTTTCAATTTCTAAACTACAACTTCCGCATAAATGTTGTTTTGCAAATGTACGTCACGTCACGGGGCATTTGAAACTTTCTTCCAATTTGTAGTCTTACAGGTTACAATGTGAAATTGCAAAGAAGGAGAAATTTATTTTTAACTACAAACTTTTAACTTATCTGTACATATTTAGGTAGTTCATACTATGTTTTATTTAAAACATATATGATACGATGTTTTCTTCCCATAATTTTATTTTTAATGCTTTCTTTGTCGGCTTTCTCGGTGCCTCCTAGACTTCCCCGCACAGAGGGACCCTCCTACGTCATTTGCAACAAAACGAGGCATGGCTGCGGAAGGCGAGAAGAAACCGGTTCTGGAGATGGTATTTTACAGGCTTTATTTTATACAGTTGCTTATATATGGCGTTTAGTTCTTTATGAAGTCATAACTTCCACAAAAAATGATTAGGTTTTGTCCTTTACAGCATCTGAACCACGTGGGCTATGGCCATCAGCCAGTGTGCATAAACGTAAACGTGCGCTTAAATGCGCTCTATAGGATCTTCAGTCACACATATTGGTCCCAGATGTGCACTGATTGTTTTAGCCCAAAAATGACAGCTGAAAGTAATCAAATGTATATGCATTTAGGTTTTAAAAAAAGAGCGTATTATGCATGCCTCCGGTTTGTCCAGTAAGGGGCAGCATTAAACTAGATTTGTAGATCTCGTTCTGCCTCAGTCTCAGACAGTACCGTCAATGGATTGTAATTATTTCCCACTATTCTTTTGGCTTTTACTAGCTACTACTACTACTACTACTACTACTACTACTACTACTACTACTACTACTACTACTACTACCACTACTACTACCACTACCACTACTACTACTACTACTACACTACTACTACCACTACTACCACTACCACCACTACTACCACTACCACTACTACCACTACTACCACTACTACTCCTTCTTGCTATTAAACCTTTGGTCTCTGCTTGCTTTTAGGTCCAGGCCGATGGAGCAGATGACGGCTGTGTGACGTTTGTGATGCATGAGGAGGACCATACACTTGGAAACTCCTTACGTTACATGATCATGAAGAAGTGGGTCATAATTTCTTTGAAATTTCTTAATATTTCTCGTTATCCAAACCTAGAATTCGCTTGTCGACTTACCCTACCCTTAAACATTTGAATTATTATTATTATTACAACTTTAAGATATAGTTATATTTTTTATACAATGTGATTTTTATATATTTTTTTTGTCTTCTTGCCATCAGTCCTGAGGTGGACTTTTGTGGCTACACGATCACACATCCTTCAGAGACTAAGATCAACTTTCGTATCCAGACTCGAGGTAAGACAGACATAAATATCTCCCCTGGCTCTATACTGATTTGTTAATGTACATTATTACATGTCCAAAACATGCGTGTACACATCTGCTACAGAGTAAATAGTATTTCCCAGAGTAAACATGTTGACGAGAGTCCTGTGCTTTCACTTTGTCTAAAGGAGGCCACTGACTTTGAGTTACACACCCCTCCCTCCAGCTGCCTGGACTATATCTACTCACACTGTTTGAAATGAAAACATCATAGCATCACAACAGCACAAAACAAATGCTTTGTCACATGAAGTCACTCTGCTGAGATAAAATAACAAAAACTAAACAGAAAGATTTGTATTGTAAGAGCAATTTCCAATTAATCCAAGTAGTGGAAGAGTTAATGGAGATGGATGTAGCAACAATTTGCCCATGAACCAAAAGGCTTGAGGTTCAAGTTCCATGGAGTAACAGCATAAAGATGAGTGTGATTGATTGTATCTTCTGACACACCCTTGTCAGAAAATTACAGCCATAAATAAATAGGCAGTTGTGTCTTTGATCAAAGGTGCACATATGTAACTTTTCCAGTGGAGCCTGCTTTTCTCCATGGAGATGCCATTTTTTTTGCCATGAATGTCCCACAGTATAGCATTAAATCTCCAGTTGGAGAAAAGCAAGTGATGCTAGCAGTCCAAATTATAATTGAATAGATAACGAGATCTTTTATGCCATACTGTAGAACATTAGTCGAAACAACAGTTGTTCTAATGGAGATAAGCAGTTGGCATTCTCTTCATCTGAAAAGCTTTGGTACACCTTTAAATATAACTGAATGTTAATGTTTTTGCGCCTTGACTGAGGTACATTTAATTAACCTATTGATATTACATTATATTTTGTGTATAGGAAATATCACGGCCACAGAATCGTTTCGACAGGGCCTGACTGATCTGAGTGAAGCTTGTCAACATGTTCTCAACACTTTTCAGGTAAACTGATTTTTGGCTATTTTTAACCACTACATAAGATAAACCTGTTATCAGAATTGGAGTAGTAACTGATTCGTTTACAGCAAAAACATGAGCCTCGAGTGTAGTTTTCATCAAATCATGTTGAATCTGTTCCTAGGAATGCTATGTAATCTTATTACCATGACCAGCTATGCACATTATACGGTATATGCCAGGACATTTATTGCTCTTCTAGAGTAAAACTGAGAAAGCCATCGTGGTCAGTTATAGTGCATATAGCAAAAAATTTTCAAATAAAGCCAAGTCTATCAGCAAACTATGTTCAAATTTTATGCATTCATAAGGTGAAGGCTTTAATATAAGTCCTTGTGGGTTTTTTACCTCTTCCTGCATCGACTTTTTTAATCTAGTTTTATATGTTATATAAGTGCAAAACAACAACAGCAACACCAGCAACCTGCTAACGTAAATCTGGGTAGTTAATATTGCAAGTTGTCTTTAGGAAACTGCAGCTTGTTCCATGTAGACATATACCGTAGTAGTCTAGTCATTCATATGGGGGGAAAAAAAAACAAACAAAACTGCTGGTATGTACCCTGCTTAAGATCTTTTGTTACTTATAGATTAAATAAAATATTATAAAATTTCAGGCAATTATAAGTGGTGGTAGTAATCAGCTTGTTCTATGTAAACATATTTAGTCATTAATTTGTTATTTGATTATTTGACTGAGTCTTTTCCCCACAGACCCATGCTTATGGATGCTATGAGTGTTATATAGGGCCTATGAGGACATTTTACCCTATGGGAACATTATTTTGACAAATGTACTCCACAGCAGCTTTAAAATCTTATCTTTACAATACACGTGGCAACCTGAGCTTGAAAACATTGTCCTAAGCATTTTCAGACAAATGCTTTACATCTTCTTCATTGACAGGTAAAAGAGTAAAGCAGAATGATTTGTGGAAAAATATCGAATTGCAATTTCTTTAGGACAAACATTGAAATTGCAGTTAAATTTGCTGTTTATGTTTCAATAATAGGATTTTGTTCAAAGTTCACAGTTTAAATGTGTCCAGAAGTATTCACAAAAAGCCTG